CAAAAACATGCATGCCAAGGAGTGACATCCTCTCACATGCATCCCGAAGTGGGATAGATCCAAGATGGTCTTTATAAAAAAAACCCAGACTCTCCCATACATGCGTCCCAAGGAGAGCTACTCCCCTACATGCATCCCAAGGAGAGCTACTCCCCTACATGCATCCCAAGGAGAGCTACTCCCCTACATGCATCCCAAGGAGAGCTACACTCCCCTACATGCGTCCCAAGGAGAGCTACTCCCTACATGCGTCCCAAGGAGAGCTACTCCCCTACATGCGTCCCAAGGAGAGACTCTCCCTACATGCGTCCCAAGGAGAGCTACTCCCCTACATGCGTCCCAAGGAGAGCTACACCCCTACATGCGTCCCAAGGAGAGCTACTCCCCTACATGCGTCCCAAGGAGAGCTACTCCCCTACATGGGTCCCAAGGAGAGACCTCCCTACACCCCTACATGCTCCCCACATGCGTCCCAAGGAGACTACTCCCCTACATGCATCCCAAGGAGAGCTACTCAAGGAGAGCCCAAGGAGAGAGACTACATGCCCCCAAGGAGAGACTACTCCCTACATGCATCCCAAGGAGAGCTACTCCCCTACATGCGTCCCAAGGAGAGACTCTCCCCTAGGAGAGCTACTCTCTCCCTACATGCATCCCAAGGAGAGACTACTCCCCTACATGCATCCCAAGGAGAGCTACTCCCCTACATGCGTCCCAAGGAGAGACTACTCCCCTACATACATGCCCCAAGGAGAGACACTCCCCCTACATGCATCCCAAGGAGAGCTACTCCCCTACATGCGTCCCAAGGAGACCTACTCCCCTACATGCATCCCAAGGAGAGCTACCTACCCCTACATGCGTCCCCAAGGAGAGCTACTCCCCTACATGCATCCCAAGGAGGAGAGACTCCCCTACATGCATCCCAAGGAGAGACTCTCTCCCCTACATGCGTCCCAAGGAGAGACTCTCCCCTACATGCATCCCAAGGAGAGCTACTCCCCTACATGCATCCCAAGGAGAGACTCTCCCCTACATGCGTCCCAAGGAGAGCTACTCCCCTACATGCATCCCAAGGAGAGCTACTCCCCTACATGCGTCCCAAGGAGAGCTACTCCCCTACATGCGTCCCAAGGAGAGCTACTCCCCTACATGCATCCCAAGGAGAGACTCTCCCCTACATGCCCCAAGGAGAGCTACTCTCTACATGCCCCAAGGAGAGCTACTCCCCCCTACATGCATCCCAAGGAGAGCTACTCCCCTACATGCATCCCAAGGAGAGCTACCCCTACATGCGTCCCAAGGAGAGCTACTCCCCTACATGCGTCCCAAGGAGAGCTACTCCCTACATGCGTCCCAAGGAGAGCTACTCCCCTACATGCGTCCCAAGGAGAGCTACTCCCCTACATGCATCCCAAGGAGAGCTACTCCCCTACATGCATCCCAAGGAGAGCTACTCCCCTACATGCGTCCCAAGGAGAGACTACTCCCCTACATGCATCCCAAGGAGAGCTACTCCCCTACATGCGTCCCAAGGAGAGCTACTCCCCTACATGCATCCCAAGGAGAGCTACTCCCCTACATGCGTCCCAAGGAGAGCTACTCCCCTACATGCGTCCCAAGGAGAGCTACTCCCCTACATGCATCCCAAGGAGAGACTACTCCCCTACATGCGTCCCAAGGAGAGCTACTCCCCTACATGCATCCCAAGGAGAGACTCTCCCCTACATGGTCCCAGGAGACTCTCCCTACATGCTCCCAAGGAGAGACTCTCCCCTACATGCGTCCCAAGGAGAGCTACTCCCCTACATGCGTCCCAAGGAGAGACTCTCCCCTACATGCATCCCAAGGAGAGACTCTCCCTACATGCAGGCCCAAGGAGAGCTACTCCCCTACATGCCCCCAAGGAGAGCTACATCCCCTACATGCCCCAAGGAGAGCTACTCCCCTACATGCGTCCCAAGGAGAGCTACTCCCCTACATGCGTCCCAAGGAGAGCTACTCCCCTACATGCATCCCAAGGAGAGCTACTCCCCCTACATGCGTCCCAAGGAGAGACTACTCCCCTACATGCGTCCCAAGGAGAGCTACTCCCCTACATGCGTCCCAAGGAGAGACTCTCCCCTACATGCGTCCCAAGGAGAGACTCTCCCCTACATGCGTCCCAAGGAGAGACTCTCTCCCTACATGGGTCCCAAGAGACTCTCCCCTACATGCGTCCCAAGGAGAGACTACTCCCCTACATGCGTCCCAAGGAGGACATGCTCCCAAGAGAGACTCTCCCCTACATGCATCCCAAGGAGACTACTCCCCTACATGCATCCCAAGGAGAGACACTCCCCTACATGCGTCCCAAGGAGAGCTACTCCCCTACATGCGTCCCAAGGAGAGCTACTCCCCTACATGCGTCCCAAGGAGAGACTCTCCCCTACATGCATCCCAAGGAGAGCTACTCCCCTACATGCATCCCAAGGAGAGCTACTCCCCTACATGCGTCCCAAGGAGAGCTACTCCCCTACATGCATCCCAAGGAGAGCTACTCCCCTACATGCATCCCAAGGAGAGCTACTCCCCTACATGCGTCCCAAGGAGAGCTACTCCCCTACATGCATCCCAAGGAGAGACTCCCCCTACATGCGTCCCAAGGAGAGACTCTCCCCTACATGCATCCCAAGGAGAGCTACCCTACACATGTCCCAAGGAGAGCTACTCCCTACATGCGTCCCAAGGAGAGCTACTCCCCTACATGCGTCCCAAGGAGAGCTACTCCCCTACATGCGTCCCAAGGAGAGCTACTCCCCTACATGCGTCCCAAGGAGAGCTCCCCTACATGCCCCAAGGAGACTACTCCCCTACATGCGTCCCAAGGAGAGCTACTCCCCTACATGCCCCCAAGGAGAGCTACTCCCCTACATGCGTCCCAAGGAGAGCTACTACTCCCCTACATGCGTCCCAAGGAGAGCTACTCCCCTACATGCGTCCCAAGGAGAGCTACTCCCCTACATGCGTCCCAAGGAGAGACTCTCCCCTACATGCGTCCCAAGGAGAGCTACTCCCCTACATGCGTCCCAAGGAGAGCTACTCCCCTACATGCGTCCCAAGGAGAGCTACTCCCCTACATGGAGTCCCCCTAAGGAGAGCTACTCCCCTACATGCGTCCCAAGGAGAGCTACTCCCCTACATGCGTCCCAAGGAGAGCTCTCCCCATGCATCCCAAGGAGAGCTACTCCCCTACATGCCCCAAGGAGAGCTACTTCCCTACATGCGTCCCAAGGAGAGCTACTCCCTACATGCGTCCCAAGGAGAGCTACTCCCCTACATGCGTCCCAAGGAGAGCTACTCCCCTACATGCGTCCCAAGGAGAGCTACTCCCCTACATGCATCCCAAGGAGAGCTACTCCCCTACATGCATCCCAAGGAGAGACTCTCCCCTACATGCATCCCAAGGAGAGCTACTGCGTCCCCTACCCTATGCGTCCCAAGGAGAGACTCTCCCCTACATGCATCCCCCAGGAGAGCTACTCCCCCTACATGCATCCCAAGGAGAGCTACTCCCCTACATGCGTCCCAAGGAGAGACTACTCCCCTACATGCGTCCCAAGGAGAGCTACTCCCCTACATGCGTCCCAAGGAGAGACTACTCCCCTACATGCGTCCCAAGGAGAGCTACTCCCCTACATGCGTCCCAAGGAGAGCTACTCCCCTACATGTGCCCAAGGAGAGCTACTCCCCTACATGCGTCCCAAGGAGAGCTACTCCCCTACATGCGTCCCAAGGAGAGCTACTCCCCTACATGCGTCCCAAGGAGAGCTACTCATACATATCCCCTACATCCCAAGGAGAGCTACTCCCCTACATGCGTCCCAAGGAGAGCTCTCCCCTACATGCGTCCCAAGGAGAGACTCCCCTACATGCGTCCCAAGGAGAGCTACTCCCCTTCATGCGTCCCAAGGAGAGCTACTCCCCTACATGCGTCCCAAAGAGGGACAATTCCTCCCATGCAACCCGATGCAGGATAGGTCTGCCGAAATGCCAAACGGTGAAGGCAACCTTCATAAACATCTAACCAGAAGAAGAAATCTTGAAATTGACATTTCACCCCATCTGGCCTCGCCTCAAGCACACTTTACAGGTTAGAAGTGATTCCCAGCATCCTGTGTTGGCTGTAATCTTTGTAGATTGGATGGACATAACTTCTGTGCCTCATGAGTAATGACACTTCTACCTATTGTTTCAAGAACTATCACTGTGAAAACCACATTCAGGTGGTTGTTATCCAGTTTAGGCTAGTTGGTGAGGCCTTTTCTCATGTTTTGCAAGACACTGTCATGCTGAAAGACCAGCAACTAAAACAATTTCTTTTGGCAGCTTCACGAATGATGTTAAAAAATGGTGGAAAGAGTTCCTTCCGTTCCCCATTTCTTTCTTCCCCCAGATTAACCGAGGTAATACTGCGTGGTTCTACCCTATATATTGTAATTAATTTTTTTAGCTTTTAGTTATTTTGTGAGTTCTCTAGTAGTTGTTAGGTTTTATTAATAATTTTAGTACATATTAATTTATATCATTTGGGATGGGGGAACGGTAGGAACTCTTTCCAAAATGGCAAATCAGATGTTAGTGTGAACATTTGTTTATAAATCAAATCGCAAATAGCATTCCATAAATTTGAAGGCGCTCACAGCAACAACGCTTCTAAGACGAGGTTTGGGTGCCTTGATCTTAGCTGGGCTCTGTCTCTTATATCTCGTATCACAAAAAAGACAAGTTGACGTGCGCACAGGAAGCTTCGTTGCTTCCTAACAATCGGAACCGCTCAGCCTTTGAAAAGAGCTCCCTGCATTGATATCATGACGCCTAAAGTCTGGTTGTGTGCTGACTTACTCAGACGCTCTGTAGTAGAGTTTAAATAATTGTCAGCTCCATACAGCGATATTTCCGATTCCTCAATGTTTGACCACACTTATTTATTTTGACTTGTAGGCGCTGTTCTAGAGTTGGAGTTTATCGAAGCGTGATCGTAAATGTACGACGAATGCCGAATGCATTAACGTATTACATTAACTTCTGGTGTTATTGCATGTGCACGTGTTTGGGAAATTCGGAAATTCATTACTTGTTGAAAGAGGTAAACCGTTTTAAAATATCTAACAATATGTTTATGACAAAATGATGTTCAAATATCTCACAGACAGAACCACAATATCACGAAGAAATCCGTGATCTGATTTGTAACCTATGTCAAATGATGAAACTGGTTCTTTTAGATGTTTCTCGAACGGGGACATCCAAGTCGTCTGCTTTCACGTTGTCATCTGTTTTATTGTTTTGATTTGTTTTAGAATTCGCCTAAGTCTTTGTAACTCTGACAGGATCTTGACTTTGATTTTTATTTTACTGTTTGGACCCCTCACGATTTTTGTCAAAATATTTCCCAAGTTTGGCCCACCGTTGAAATAATAATTTAAACCATAATTTCTATGTATACACTGCAATTACTTAACATTCTATACAGAGGTAGAGATAAGCTGCGTATCTGCGTAAATTACGCAAATATTTATGTGAAAACTCAATTCCTATTAAGTCTATTGCGTACAAGTACGCTTGAATTTTTTTAAATACTCAATAGAGGTGATGTTACATACGTACACACAAAAGTGTCAAATCTTAGCTTGCGTACATATGGATAGATAAAATATCTGAGGTACACACATGTATATTGAGAGGTTCTGTTTCAGGACATGAACTTGGCAACTTGCAGTCTTTCTTATTGTTTCTCATATTACAGATCAAATATAAATAACAAACACTCACATTTAAACTTTATTATATTTTAACAATTAATGGAAAATGACAAAATACCCAATTGAGTTTGAGTGAGGTGGGTACAATTTATTTGGTTACTCAAAGGAAAATTAGGATACCCAATTGAGATGACCACAAGCGAGTACATAACTCAATGACCCAAAACGTTATCTGCAGCTCTGTTCTATACATTTATAAATATATCTATATACTTTGTAGAGTTGATATGACGATCTACATCGACAAGGGTTCCAACACCTTCAAAACAAATACACCCCCAGAACAGCAACACTGAGGGCGTGGGGCATTTTATCCCTGTACACACCAAGGCACCGGGGTTTCCACTTTTCTTCATTTGTCCTCCAAACATAAACTTTCTGATCTTTTCCTACAACAACTTGAGTCTCATCTGAAAATATCACCCTAGACCAATCTCTGTTTACATTCCATCTCAAATGTGTTCTGGGCAAAGGCTCTTCTCTTGAACCTGTTTTGAGAGGATATGGTGGTTTTCTTCTTCACAACTCTTCTATGAAACCATTTTCATGAAGACTTGCTTTGTATTGTCCTCCTGGATAGTCTTACTTGAGATGTCTGGTTCCAAAGTGAAGATATATCCTGAAGAGACTTCCTCCTATTACATTTAACAATCTTCAATAAAGCCCTAGTATCTCTGTCAGTTGATTTTCTTCTCCTGCCACTTTTCTGACAATTTTCTATATTTCCTCCTTGAGAAAACCTCTTCAGAAATTTACAGACAGTAAACCTATTAATTCCAGTTATTTTGCCTATTTCCACTTCCACTCTTGCCTCTCTGAATTCAAACTTAATATGAGCTTTTTCTGATAGGCAGTAAGATCTTTGCCTCTAGGTGCCATGACACTTTGAGCAGACGTCATACTAAGCACTTGAGAGTTATTCCCCTTTTGTTTACAAAATGTAACAGGTGTTAAGTCAAATTTGTACCCCCTAAAATTTCATACCCTATAACTATTGCTAAGATGAAATAAACTTTCATTTAAAAGAACCAGCTACTGCTGGCAAGAATCACAGCGGCCATTTTGTGAACTTTAATATGGCACATGAGTGTAGGTATCTGAACATTTATAAATTAATCAACAGTTTTGTATAATAAGTATCTGTACATTTCTAAGTTAATCCAATAATTTTGCAGTAAACATTTTATATATTCATGATAACATGTATTCATATTATAGCCGTGTTAGCTGTATCCATTATAGTCATAGCATTGTGACATCACGGGCAGAGTAAACAGTTACTGTTCTTTAGTTCTACCTGATGATGGGACAAGAACAAGCCCTGAAACGTTGTACCAAATAATGAAAAAGAAGATGAAACCCAGAAATTCTCTATGGCCATTGTAATAGTTGTCATATGTTATGAATAAAGTAGTGAATGGCACTAACAAAGACAGGTCTATGATGAATCCAGATTTACTACTCATCTGCCAACCCTTTACCTGAACCACTATTGTTTATCGGAACTACTACCTTTTACCTGAACTACTACCAGCTATTTTTGAGGTCTCAGATGGTTGCAACAAACCATTCAGTAGGGAATAGTTGGTATCTGAATTGCAGGGCTCCAGATAAGGGCCGTATTGGCGTATGTACGGATACAAAATATGCACGATACAGTAGCAAATAATTTAGAAAACGTAGCAGGTACACACCACAGCAATGGTGTACGGTCTTAGAATCATTTACAGACGTGTTTATCTCAAATAAGTATTGTTTTATTGTTTATTGACCTGTTTACACAAGAGTAGCAATGTTGTGGTGCATATATGAAACGAAACACAAGGTTACTGATAGTGATACTCAGTACTCTAAATGTACTCTTAAGGTTTTTGCCAGTACTCCTGTAGTGAAAAATATGTTTTTAATTTTTATTCTATGGGTCCTGTGAATTTTCAATGGGTCAGACACTCCTGATGTTGAAACATTCGTGAACACTCTGAGCCCCTGGAATTGTTTAGATGTTATTTTGCCTGCTGAACATTTCACATAGTACTTGTTCCAATACAACATCTTAACACCAAGAATGACAATGAAAACAATAATAACAGGCCTAATCTGTGTAGAATGTTTTGTTATGCTGGACACTTTTTATGCTGGACACTTTTGTTATGCTGTCGCGATGCGCGAATCTATCGATGCATCGATACATTTTTACTGACGATACGATATGCGATACATCCTTGCGTGTATCGATTCCTATTTTAAAACTTTATCGATTCAAATTTTTATGCTATATCCATTTCCGTCAAAGTCTTCATAGTAAAATTATACCAGACCGCTCCGATAAATAGATGTAGCTAGCTTTACTTAAAAAATAGGTTGGAAACTGACAGCTTTTGTGATTTGCTAGACTATTTTGATGGACCAATCAGCGACCGCGACGTTGCGGTAAGGTAATGCTATGAAAAGAGGCTGATACTGGACACCATGAATGAGGTACATGCTTGTACTGGCTGCCGAACAGTTATCACTATATTTTAGTGGTATTTAAAATTACTCCGCCATTTGTTAAATTAATGAAACAGAATTAATTATTATGCTTAACTAGCTATTTGTCGATGTGTCCAACCTGTTCACTGCCTCCGATCATGATTTTATATAACGCGGCGGAAGGGAATCATGTCAGTACAAATATATGTTTTCTCAGAACTAACTGTAACAGTTATTGCCATTTCAGAATTTCTCATGCCATTCGTTTAACAATATATATTTATGTCATACATTAACCACGCATAATTAATTGTGTGACTATGTGAGTGTTTCTTTTACAGTAGACTGATAGGGAATGAAACAAATAATGACTTGTGAACTTGAACTTGCAATTATATAGATCGTGTGACGTACCTCCGACTAAGTTAAACACATTTATAGGGTTCATAACTTTATCTTTAATTTTTCTCTTATGTTCTTTTGCTGTCCTTTATTGTTGTCAAATACCGTGGGGGAAAACTACCGCAATTGAGTGTAATTGCGCACGTGTGATAATGATGTATTGGCGATAACTGTTATGTGGCGATAACTGTTCACTAGCCAGTAGAGCTACAATTATTACCCAATCAGTATATAATTGTGTACTTGATCTTCTATTCTAAGCTCCTGGGTTTGCATTCACCCAAGTATATTGTTCAACTAAACATTCACAAACAAGATTTCACATAGGCCTACCTTTACCGATGTCAGTTACATGGCTATGTTGTCTTGTATTAAATCTTGGGACATGGGGTAACCAAGTGGTTCAAGCATTGAAAATCCAGGTTTGATTCCCCACATGGGTACAATGCGTGAAGCCCATTTTTGGGTGACCCCCACTGGAATATTACTGAAACTATACTCACTCATTGTAACAAGTCTTCTTACTTTCACAGGGGCGGTGGGGTAGCCTAGTGGTTAAAGCATTGGCTCATCACGCTGAAGACCCGGTTTCGAATCCCCACATGGGTACAATGTGTGAAGCCCATTTCTGGTGTCCCACGCCGTGATGATGCTGGAATAGTGCTAAAAGCGGCGCGTAAAACCAAACTCAGTCAGTCAGTCACTCACTTACTTTCACAGTTTTCCGTCCCTTCTCTGATTGTTCAATCATGTTGTTTTTTTACAGTTTATGACAGGTTAATCTAGAATTGTCTTGCAGCAAGACTACCAGTATGTCAGAGGAGCAGCAGGCATCCACCACTGAGGGCGCACCACTATTCCGAGACATCGCTGGTGATGACAGCACCCCAGAGATTACAGAGATCGAGAGCTTTTGTGTCAACTGTGAGGACCAGGTTAGTTTAGGCAAGAAAATACAATGATATTTATTGTTGTTTCATGGTCTTTGTTATTATTAGGCCAGACCAAATTTTATTTCTTGTTTTACGGATCTACTGGTCATATATGTTCAAGAATAAGCAAAAAAAAATTACCTGCTCAGAAAGTAAAATCCTAGTGTATTTTTGGCCAAAAATGTAAACTTACAACAAATTTTGTTTAGATTGTTTTTTGCCCCATATGCTCTTCATAAATTGCCAAAAGTAAAATACTTTTAGTATTTAGAATGACTTTTGATTTTATTTGTATTTTATTCCCCTCCTGCCTAAAGGTTTTCTCTCCTGCCTTTAGGACAAAATCCGTGCAACAAGAAATAATATTAGTCTGGCCTTAACAAATAAATTAGGAAGATTGTTCAGTCCAGGCTGGACTTGGTGAATCTTGCAGATATGCTTGTCAAAGAATGTAATGTTATGCTTCTATGATCCAGTTCCTGTTATTTATTGATGAGATTGCCTAAATTTGATAAAAGTGTAACTGTTACATTCTAAAGTGAAACCAATCAAAAGCAACTTTTTAAAGTGGTATTTAGAAGCTGGTATGATGAAGAGGAACACTTTTAATGGATAGACAACTTCTTTATTGCAAAAGATGCGATAGTTTGGTGTTAATCGTAACACTGTTATCAAGCAGGTAAGATGAAGAGGAACACTTTGTTTTATGGACAATTTCTTATTGCAATAGAAGCGATATTTAGGTGTAGATCCTAACACCTCAGGGGTAGAAATAACTTTAAAATTGCTAGAGTACACCGGTACAGTGGCACATGTAAAATCACTTGCCTTGATCATTTTTCCTCTATACCGGCCGATTTTCTTGTTGATTTTTTAAATAAACAACATAATTAACATTGGAAAGTCAACTGGACATTGGTACAGTGTGATCCACAAATTTGCTTGCCCGACTGGGAAAAACACTGGACTCGGACGTCGGGCAATGGGTTATTTCCATCCCTGCACCTTTATGATCCCTTGCTCTCCTTAAAAATTGTTCCTCTTCAATCAAAGGCAATTTGATTACAGTAAGAAATAGCGTGATTCTTTTGCCTCAGAGGTGGAAGGGAGTGGAGTATCATAATGGATAAAGTTTTAGCTTGTCAGAAAGACCCAGTTTTAATTCCCTACATATGTACAAAATGTCAAGGGCTTGATCAGCCATGTTGTAGAAAACAAAGCATACTTCTCACCTGTTCTCACCTGTTCATTATTATTTAATTTTCAGGGCATAACAAGATTATTTTTAACAAGGATTCCGTTTTTCCGAGAAGTCATTGTGTCTTCGTTCTCCTGTGATCACTGTGGTTATCGGAATGCGGAACTACAGCCTGGTGGAAGGATACAGGACAAGGGAGTGCGTTATGAGGTCCTCATCAAACACAAAGAAGTGGGTGGAACCTGACTCATTATGTATTTGCTTTCCTTGTAGTGTGTGGCAATTAAGTCTGCTGGAAAGTTTGGTCTTTGGACTGCATCCTGCATCTAGCTAACGCCCTTTCCCCAACCCACTCAGGGGCGGTGGGGTAGCCTAGTGGTTGAAGCATTGGTTTGTCACACCGAAGACCCAGGTTCGATTCCCCACATGGGTACAATGTGTGAAGCCCATTTCTGGTATCCCCTGCATGGATATTGCTGGAATATAGCTATAGTGGCGTTAAGCCATACTCACTCACTCACTCACTCACCCAAACCCACTCTCCAACACCCTCACAACCCCCTTGACCCGAACACCCTCACCCAAACCGGGTAAGAATTGGTCTTCAGTAACCCATGCTTGTCGTAAGAGGCGACTAACGGGATCGGGTGGTCAGGCTCGCTGACTTGGTTGACCCCACATGTCATTGGTTCCCAATTGCGTAGATCGATGCTCATGTTGTTCATCACTGGATTGTCTGGTCCAGACTCGATTATTTACAGACTGCCACCATATAGCTGGAATATTGCTGAGTGGGGAGTAAAACGAAACTCACTCACTCCAACTCCCCTGACCCCAACTCCACTCTGTCCAACCCTCCTTGACCATGTTTTATTGGATCGGTTTCCCCATTGATAACAGGTATAGCATAGCACCATTGCTCCAACTCCTGCACCCAACCCCTCAGTTTTCAGGCAATGATAATGATAAATTGTTTTCTCCAGCTCCTGTTGAACCCCCACTGACTCCATCCTGTGACTCCAACCCCTCACCCCAGCCCCCACTGTCTCCCCAACTCCTGTGACTCCAACCCTCACCCCAACCCCATGAAATGACAGGCCACCCCAGCCCCACTGACCCCAACCCCCACTGACCCTAACGCCCACTTTCTCCAGATTTCTGATGGACCCCCACTGTCTCCAAATTTACAGCCCCCTAGCCAGCCCCCATGGTCTGGTAAAATATTTTAGATGTTCCATACATCTGAACTCCCCTGTAAATTCACCATATTTGGTCTGGTTCAATCCATTTTGGGCTGGTAACATATTGAAGTTAGCAGCCCTGATGTCTGGCTGGATTTTGGCTTATTTCATACACTGTAAATAACCCCAACTCTTCCAACTCCCTTTGATCCCCTGATAGAACCACCACTCTTACTGCTGATTTCACAACACATCCCATTCCATATTTTGTCTTCAAATGTCTCAAAATACATTGTACTTAGTATTTAATATTAAAAATACATGAGATACACATACAAGTACAGATATGATGTGAATATGTGTATAACAATCTGTATAGTATGACCTAGGTATAGTAGGTATCTATCATACCGTGTTACATATCGTATCATGCCTGTGCTGTATGGTTTACCCTGATAGAAAACACTATCCATTATAACCAAGATATGATGAGCTTTATCCCCAGAGATTACAAGACTGAGGTCAAGGTTATTCACTAAAAATCAACTGAGTCAGTAATTCTATGGAAATCTTTTGTTTTTTAGGATTTAAATAGACAAGTGGTGCAGACAAATTTTGCCACTGTGTCAATTCCAGAACTTGAGTTTGAGTCGCCTCCAAATAAGGGAGGTAAGTATAACTTTTTGTTGTTGACTTCAGTCTGTATTCAAGCCTTATCGGATAGGTGGGGTAGCCTGGTGGTTAAAGTGTTCGCTCATCACGCCGAAGACCCGGGTTTGATTCCCCACATGGGTACAATGTGTGAAGCTCATTTCTGGTGTCCCCTGCCATGACATTGTTGGAATATTGCTAAAAGTGGCGTAAACCTAAACTCACTCACTCACTCAAGCCTTATCATTGCTGACTAATTAAACAAGTTTTAAGACATGATCTATAACCTTGGTAACTGTGTGACATTTTGCTGAAATTCATTAGTACTATCAGCAGCAAATATTAATATGAAATATCTAACAGCCAATCAGTGATAAGGACCATGATTTTATTGTTTTGTTTACCGTGCATTTTTCAGCAGTTTATATTTGGTGTACTTTTTCTTACATTTTAATTATATATGCTGTGAAATACATCATGTGGTTGACACATGTCATATAATTACAATAGCATAAATTGACGCATGTGATGTTGATCACTGGATTGTCTGGTCAATTCTCTATTACTTACGGACAACTGCCATGTAGCTGGAGTTCTACTGAGTGTGGCGTTCAACAACAACATACAAAAACAAACAATAAGAATGTGGCTTGATCTTGTTCATTTACTGTGGCCATTTCTGGTGTCCCCACCGTGATATTGCTGGAATATTGCTAAGAGCGGCATAAAACCACTCACTCACTCACTCACTCACTCACTCCACTCACTCACTCACTCACTCACTCACTCTGTTTGACTGGCACTCACTTGGTGACTCCTCACTCACTGAGATTCTCACTCACCTAACCAACTTCTTTATCTATTATATGACCTCCCTTCATTATATTTTATCGTTATAGACCACATCTGAACTTAACCAATATATTTTAGTTGTAGAGTAAAGTTTAGTTGTAAATTTTCAATATAAACATGGTAATGAGTGGATGTGGTGTTGCCCATTGTGACATAAACCTCTTTCACAAAACTATCCGTTTGAGGATGGAAACATCAAGCAAATATCCCTGTGAGTTGAGGATGTCTTGTGATGTTGTGGTGATTGTTCCAGTGTTGACGACAGTGGAAGGCATTATACAGAGGGCAGTGGAAGGTCTCAACCAGGATCAAGTGCTACGTCGGGTAGGCTGAACATTCCTCAAGGGGGTGGGGTAGCCTAGTGGTTAAAGCGATTCGATTCCCCACATGGGTAAAATGTGTGAACCCATGTCTGGTGTCCCCTGTCGTGATATGGCCAAACAGAAAAAATGTTGTGGTTCCGATTACACCTCTTTCAAATTTAGGGTAGGTAAGTAGGATTTTTTGTTTTACATTTTTTTTAGAAGTAAAGTACAAACTAATAACACATGTATCAATGTGTAACTGTTTATTCAATCAAGCTTGCGGCCATCATGTCGACTTTCTCTATCAGAATGACCGATGTTCTTCCGGTGCCCAGATAAAACAATGGTATCTGAAAGCTGAATCATAACGCTTAAAAAGAATAGGGTCGGCACCAGAATTCTAGGGTCAGTTGGGTAATCAGAACCACAGCATTTTTATTTTAGGCCTATTGCTGGAATAGTGCTAAAAGTGGCCAAACTCACTCACCCGAACATTCCTCATATCTGTTTCTCAACACACTCTCTTGGAGGTTAAAAAGGTACCCTAGTGGTTAAAGCGTTCACTCTTCACGCCGAAAACCTGGTTCTATTCCCCACATGGGTACACTGTCCATTTCTGGATTCCCCCGCCGTGATATTGCTGGAATATTGCTGAAAGCAACATTTAATAGAGGTGAGAAGTGTACTAGGATTTCTTTTAATGAAAACAAAAAATCAGGGGTGAAATGCCTTTTTGGCTCACGGGACTGAACAGATAGGAAAGCCCACAAAAATATCATTCTGTGACGTTCATGATAATTTTGATGTCATGTGTTTCTAATTCTCCAGATCCAACATCCTGAGATTGCGGCACAGATTGATGCTTTTGTGGACAAACTGGAGAAACTTCGGGAAATGAAGGAACCTTTTAAACTGGTAGGTTATATCTAACATGAGACCACCTCTGTGGTGTAGTGGTTAGAGCGTCCGCCCGGAGAGCGGAAGGTCGTGGGTTCGATCCCCGACCGCGTCATACCAAAAGACGTTAAAATATGGTACTTGTTGGTCCCTGCCTGGCGCTCGGCATTAATGGGTACAACAAGGACTGGTCTGCTCGGAGTCAGTATAATGTGTCTGAGTGGGGTATTCATGCTTCACTGCGGCATGGTATCTCAGTGGGCTAGCACTATAAAACCAGCTTAAGTCTGGGCTAGTACAAGCAGCCGCACATACACATACACACGCATGCACGTCATCATATGAGCGAAATATTCTCAAGCACGACGTTAAACCAAATTTCACCTCACCTCACCTCACCTCACCTATATCTAACATGAGTGTATGTTGTAGCAGTGGGGAGGATTGTTAAGAACTTTCTGGTTATCTTCTGGGAGAATGGTGAGAATGAAGGCCCCCAGCGACCATGCTTGTCATTGGAGATGATTAAAAATATCTGGTGGTGGGGCTCACAGGCCTGGTCAATGCATGAATTGATGCTCATGATGTCAGTCACTGGATTGTCTGGTCCAGACTCGATATTTGACACTGCTGGAACATTTCTAAGTGCAGCAATAAACATTGAAAAACAAACATGAATGATAATTGTTGTTGAATGCTTCACTCAATGATATTCCAGCTATATGGTGGTGGTCTGTAACTAAGTGTTAAGATGGCTTGTGAATTGTGATAGATATAATTTATTTCATAATATGTTGCCAGGAACCCCCAGAAAGAATGTCTGAGGTTAATACCTTGTGGGGCGGTAGGGTAGCCTTGTGGTTAATGTGTTGGCTTGTCACGCTGAATGCCCATGTTCAATTCCCCACATGGGTGCAATGTGTGAAGCCCATTTCTGGTGTCCCCCGTCATGACATTGCTGGAATATTGCTGAATGCAGCGTAAAACTAAAACTCACTCCCTCACTAATACCTGGAATACACTGCTTGCTGATTATCTATTAAATACATTTAAAAGGGCTTCATCAGATTTTAAATTAAATTTGCTCTAGATTGTTGATCTAGAAATTCTTGTTATACTCTGATGTTCTATGAATACAGTTTGTATAATTGTGTGTTTCTGTTTCAGGTTGTAGATGACCCATCAGGAAACAGCTTCGTTGAAAATCCATATCCTTCCATGAATGTTTATACCTTGATTACGTTGGTTGGTTGGTTGTTTAACGCAGCACTCAGCAATATTCCAGCTATATGGTGGCGGTCTGTAAATAATCGAGTCTGGACCAGACAATCCAGCGATCAACATCATGAGCATCGATCTGCGCAATTGGGATGCCATGATCCCGTTAGTCGCCACTTACGACAAGTATGGGTTACTGAAGACCAATTCTAACCTGGATCTTCACAGATCACCGGTGGTTAGAGCGTGTGCTCATCACGCAGAAGATGCAGGTTCAATTCCCCACATGGGTACAAGGTCTGAAGCCCATTTCTGGTGTCCCCCTGCCATGATCTTGCTGGAATGTTGCTAAAAGCAGCTTAACATTAAACTCACTCACTCACTATACCTTGCTTACCCGTGAATATTGAGCGCATTATATCTATTGAAATGGTATTATGATAGTCTTTTAAAAATCTTCACTTTGTGAATGTGGAATTTGGATTTCCAACATGGGTACAATGTGTGAAGCCCATTTGTGGTGTCCCCGCGCCTTGATATTGCTAGAACAGTGCTAAACTAGTAAAAGCGGCATAAATCCAAACACACTCACTCACCCAGTCACACATTGCAGTAGAGGTATTTGTGATGTACTCAGTTTGTAAATAAAATTTGCGAAATAAAAGCAGCATAAAACCACTCACTCACTATGGTCTGTTTGCAGTGAAAACGTACCGATGAATTTCACTTTAAACAAAAAAGTAAATCAAATAATGTGAAATGAAGATTAGCGAATCCATAACTTTACCTTGCACTTGAACATTAAAATCAGAATGCTGTCTTAGGATAAAAGTTGTTTAACAAAGCGATTTAGCCTTTAAATCGCTATTATTGGTATGTATTACAAGGGTTATGCACATTAAATGAAACCCGAGAACAAGAAGGGTTGGTTTCTACGGTAGTCTAAGTTAACGCCATCACTATATTCGGTGTATTCCAACTACTGGCGTACCCCTTTAATACAAACCAATAATAGCGCAAAAACTATGATATTTCAACTTTATCAATTGAATAAATTTCTGAATTTTAATATTCAATAGATAAACCATGAGGACCGCTTATTTTTATATGTGAACTTTTTGTTTAAAGTGCAATTCCTCCATGCAAACAGTATAATCATTCTGTCCTTTTAACACTGTTATAGCCTGGACAAGCACAAGCAGCCACTCGCATAGGTGTGAAATAACCCCACAAAGATATAAATCGCATAGATATTTCACTTTGCAATTAAAAATAAAATAGATAAGCCATGAACCGCTATTTCAACTAGCCTCCATACATGTGTTGTCCTTAACATGAAGCACACATGCACCGAAGCGCGACAAAGAGATGACTGTCGGTCACTACACCAGATCTAAGGAGCAGAATGAACAGCTCGGACTTAACGAGGTATGAAGTTCTTTAATAGCATTTAGAAGTTGGACGAACATGAATACAGACAGACAGACAGATTATTTATTTAAGTGTCACCTCACATGTAACATATACAAGCTAGCTATACTACAGAATATATGTGAGCCACCCGTTTAGGGTTATGAGCGACTATCGTAAACTTTAAGAACAAACATGAATATACACCATGATATACATAAAATATAAAAATAGCAAAGACAATAAAGGCGCAGTATGGTAAAAGGTAGATATTTAAAGGGGGAGAATCATTTGTTAAACAATAAAAGATTATGTTTTTTAAGCGTTGGATTTTTGACACTGTTTGTTTGCATTTGTACACAAGATAGTCAGAATAGATTGGGTGAAGTGTTTTTATTGTGCCTATTTTTATGCTCAGGTGGATATATTTTTCGCTTATCTGCACCTGAAACATATCAGACCCAATTGTTGATGTTAATACATTCAACCCTGGACTCCATAACTATTTTCGGGAGTTGGGGTAGCCTAGTGGTTAAAGCGTTTGCTCGTCAAGACCTGGGTTCGATTCCCCACATGGGTGCAATGTGTGAAGCCCATTTCTGGTGTCCCCAGCTGTGATATTGCTGGAATATTGATAAAAGTGGCGTAAAACTATACTCGTAAAACTATACTCACTCACTCATGACTATTTTCAGGAGGAGACAGAAGAAGTGCCAGATACTTCCGAAAATGGGGAAACTGTCAGCAAGGATGAGGTCAGTTGATAGGAAATGTCCGAAAGGAGTCCTTCCATATCTAACCCAATTTTGAGCTTTTCGTTTTCAAAACCAATAATTATCCCCCGCTTTTTGCAGGGGTATTAAAATGGACTCCAAACTTACGTAACACTTCCGGAAATCTTAGGATATTTCCTTGTTTCATTTGTGCCAAATATTATTTTCATTTTTATTTTGTTATGATTAAAGGTTGTTGTTAAAGCTTAATCAAGCATAGTTATTTTGTTGTGTTTTTGCTTTATAAATCAAGCATTAACTTGATTAAAAATACTTCTTGCAATATATTGCAATTCATATCGCAATATATGCTTTCGCATCGCAATATATCGATATATGAAAATTTGCTGCAATACCCACCCCTACAATCTTGGCACATAGATAGGTCTGGTGGTGAACTGGTGCCTTTTGGTAGTTTTGGATTTCTGAATAAAAATTTCCTTGCGTTCCCTTGGCAACAAATTTGACTTTGACTTTAATTGGTGGTAGTGCTCCTTTCTGGAGCAGAACTTTAAAAGCTTTCTGTGCTCTCCTTTGCCTTTGCTATATACACGTCAAAACATTTGACATAATCATAACTAGTTGCTATATTCATGAAGAGTATCTTGCCATTGCGGGGGATATTGATAACTTTGTCTTCTTGTTTATTTCTTAAAGATTTGCATGTACATTCAGTGTCACTCCTTCTCAAACACTTTAACTCACAATATAGTGCTTTAGATATCGCAATAGGAATACCTGTATAGGAACATTTTTCAGTGTGTATTGCAATAATGAAACCTGTATTGGATATATCACAGAATGTATCACAAAAGGGCGACCCGTACTGGAATATATATCACAATAGAGATGCGTGTGTTGGAATATATCGCAATAGCACTGTATGAAATAAGCCAAAAACCCAGAATCAGACTTGTAACTTCAAAATGTTACCAGCCCAAAATGGATTTAACCAGACCATACAATCCAAAGAAAATTACTCTGATGTTTCAAAAATGTTATCAAAAAGGATACCTGTATTGGAATATATTGCAATACATATCGCAATAGGTATACGTGTATTGGAATATATTGCAATACATATCGCAATAGGTATACGTGTATTGGAATATATTGCAATACATATCGCAATAGGTATACGTGTATTGGAATATATTGCAATACATATCGCAATAGGTATACGTGTATTGGAATATATTGCAATACATATCGCAATAGGTATACGTGTATTGGAATACACCGCAATATAGGGATGACAAGACTTCATGGATGATCAACTTCTGTATTTTGACAATGGTGGCGTTTCAGTATAGATTCAAGCATTCTAGAATGCCACTCAAACAAATCATACACAATACATATCTCAATACGGATATATGTATTGGAATATATGTATCAAATAGCGATAACTGTATTTTAATATTTTGCAATACATATCACAATTGGACACCTGTATTGGAATATATCATAACACATATCACAATTACATATCTGGTGACACCACATATCTGTATTGGAATATATGCAATATATATCTGAGTGGGACACAATACATATCACACAATTGGGACACACTTGTATTGGAATATATCGCAACACATATCACAATAGGGATACCTGTATTGGAATACATCGCAATACATATCACAATTAGGGACACCTGTATTGGAATATATCGCAATACATATCACAATTGGGAAACCTAGTATTGAATATATCAATATTATCACAATTGGGACACCTGTATTGGAATATATCTCCAATACAATACATATCACAACAATTGGGACACACCTGTATTGGACACAATATCACAATAGGGACACCTGTATATGGATCATATATTGGAATATATCATAATACATATCACAATTGGGGACACCTGTATTGGAATATATCGCAATACATATCACACACATCACAATAGGGACACCTGTATTGGAATATATCTCAATACATATCACATTTGGGACACCTGTATTGGAATATATCTCAATACATATCACAATTGGGACACACCTGTATTGGAATATATCGCAATACATATCACAATTAGGGACACCTGTATTGAATATATCACAATAGGGACACCTGTATTGGAATACATATCACAATTGGGGACACCTGTATTGGAATATATCTCACATCACAATACATATCAATACATATCACAATTGGTAAGTATGTCTCAATACATATCAAATTGGGATACCTGTATTAGAATATAATAAGCTATACATGTGCAATAGGGACACCTGTATTGAATATATCTCAACACATATCACAATTGGGACACACCTGTAATATATCTCAATACATATCACAATTGGGATACCTATAACATATGGCTATACATAGGGATACCTGTATTGAATATATCTAATACATATCACAATTGGGACACCTGTATTGGAATATATCGATGGGAACAATACATATCACACATTGGGACACCTGTACACCTGTATTGGAATATATCTCAATACATATCACATTTGGGACACCTGTATTGAATATATCTCAATACATATCACAATTGGGACACCTGTATTGGAATATATCACCTATTGAATACATATTAAGAACATATCCTAACACATATCAATTGGGATACATAGGGATACCTGTATTGAATATATCTCTCAATACATATCACAATTGGGACACCTGCATTGGAATATATCTCAATACATATCACAATTGGGACACATATCTTGTATTGGAATATATCATTAACACACATCACAATATATCGACACCTGTATTATTGAATATATCATGCAATACATATATCACATTTGGGACACCTGTATTGGAATATATCTCAATACATATCACAATTGGGACACACCTGTATTGGAATATATCATCAATAACTAGATGATACACATATATATCCCAACACATTATCCTGACATCTAGGACACATCTGCATTGAACATATCCTGCAACACATGACCACAATAGGGATACCTGTATTGGAATATATCTCAATACATATCACATCTCAATACATATCACAATTGGGACACCTGTATTGGAATATATAGGGACACGCAAATACATATCACAATTGGGACACCTGTATTAGAATATATCGCAATACATATCACAATTGGGACACCTGCATTGGAATATATCGCAATACATATCACAATTGGGACACCTGTATTAGAATATGTCGCTATACATATTGCAATAGGGATACCTGTCCATATGTGGGTATGGCCTAATATTATTTTGGTTTCTGAAAATATAACTGAAAAACGAATTACTAGGTTAGCCAATCAAATGTCAGGGAATCATGACCCTCTGTGTCTCAAGTAGACTGGTTAAGAACAATGCTTCTCAACATGCATATTTTGGGCCAGTGCTGTAAAGAGTAACGTATGAGCATGGCTTTACGTAATGCCGAAATGTGTGTCCAAATGTGTAGAATGTTTGCAGAAATGTTTTTCGGTTTGTGTCCCCAAGGAATGACAGTAATATACTGATGGAAACAAATAAAGGAATACAAGAAAGTTCCTATGTTTATTACCAGACTTTCACCCATAGTGCAATACAAAGTATGCGAAGAAACCTGGAAAAGAATATAGGAACACTTGTATGTTCATGTGTTCCCTTATTTGTTTCTATCAGTATAGTCACTGTACCCAGTTCTTGGCAAGTAATATAAAGGTCCTGTTATTTAAAGTAATTATTAATTGAGTACAGGAATTTTGTACACGACCTGTGAAGATTCGGGTTAAAATTGGTATTCAGTAACCCATGCTTGTCGTAAGAGGCGACTAACGGGATCATGTGGACAAGTCACCGACTTGGTTGACACATGTCATTGTATCCCAGTTGTGTAGATTGATGCTTATGCTGTTGATCACAGGATTGTCTGGTCCAGACTCGACTATATACAGACCGCCGTCATATAGCTGGAATATTTGCTGAGTGTGGCGTGAAACTAAACTAAACTCAATCACTCACCACTGTACAGCATTGTAAAGACCCTTAAAATGGTTGTAAAGACTTTCATGTTCTAGACTGCTACAATAGACATACGAGGGGGAGCACATTCTCCCCTTGTCACCTTAGGTATTTAGTTGGGCTGATGCAATTCATGCACATATTTGGTGAATTGAACTGAGTTCAATTCACTATTCATGGTTACTAGAATGGAGTGATAAACTTTGAATTTGTCTGTTAAGTATCAAAACGCATTATGCAAAATGGAAAAGAAGTCATACAATAGCATAACTTGTCATTTTGCCAATGCCCCTTACTATGCTTATTGTCGAAGACTATAAGCACAGAGTACACTATGCCATTTAGAAAGATGTCACATATGTTATATTTGGGATTACAAATTTCTCAGTGAAGTACAGATTCTAGTACTTTGTTTCTCGCGATTAGGTGCCTGAATCTGAGTGTGCGGGTTCAAATCCTGGTAGGGACTCAACCCAACGAAAGCACTAGAATCTGTACTTTACTGAGAAAGTGTATTCTCAAATATAACATCTTTTACAATTTTAATGCTTACTTGAAATTCACATGACACAGACAGACCTATAATCACACCATTTGACCCTGGGGTGATAACCACGAATATGTTATAAGCAGCAAGGCCACAATGCACTGCTTCCTTGATATTAAACACATGACCATGAATAAATATTCATATTCATTACTCTATATTCCTGCTATGTTTCGTATTCACCTCATTGTGTATTTGTTGCAGCCCTGGTTTGTGAGGGACATTGTCACAATGTGTATTTAAAACATCTATGACTTTGATAAAAGACGGGCAGGTGTTTAAGTTGGTGGGATAAGTCATTTAACTATTTTACTTCTAGCATCTCACAGGCAGCTTGGGTTATCCGGGGTAATAATGTCCACCATGCTGTATGCGCTTAGAGCATGTCCCTGTGGTGTGGAGTTCTGGGCCCTGTTCCTCAAAGCGATCGTAGCGCTATGACTGTCGTAAGTCTATGTTAAAGTATGGGAGTTACGATCATCTTAGGGTTACGATCGCTTTGAGGAACGGGGCCCAGAGCTATATATGTGACCTAATTATTCTTATTTATTATTCTATTATTTTCTATTATTATAAGTTGTTAGACAACATAGAGTCTATAGCTCTTTCTGATTTGGCAGTCAGATTTCTTGACTGACTGACCGGTGAAGGTCTGGGTTAGAACATTGATATTCAGTAACCCATGCTTGTCATAAGAGGTGACTAACAGGATCGGGTGGTCAGGCTCGCTGACTTGGTTGACACATGTCATCAGTTTCCAATTACGCAGATCAATGCTCATGCTGCTGATCACTGTATTGTCTGGTCCCAACTCGATTATTTACAGACCGCCGCCAAATAGCTAGAATATTGCTGAGTGCGGCATAAAACTAAACTCACTCACTCACTCTTGACTGACTCGTAGTGAAGCTTAATTGTTGATCTTTCTTGCAGTAATTGTCTTTTCCAGTCTTGTTATGAATTTGAAAAAATAATATTCACTCTGTGTCTGATCCTATTGTCATTAGTTAGCATCCTTAACAGCTGCAAGATATTCCTCATTTTAAAGAAGTTGTTATCATGGCAACCAATTGTGATGCTTGTGGTTACCGTGACAGCGAGGTGAAAGGAGGAGGTGCCATTGAAGCCAAAGGTCGCAAGATTTCTCTGAAGATAACAGATCCTAGTGACATGTCTCGAGATGTACTCAAGGTGAGAAGGCCCGTGAAGATCCGGGTTAGAATTGATTTTCAGTAACCCATGCTTGTCTTAAGAGGCAACTAACGGGAATGGGTGGTCTGGCTCACTGATTTGGCTGACATATATCAATATCCCAATTGCGTTGATCGATCCTCAAGCTGTTCATCACTGGATTCTCTGGTCCAGACTCGATTGTTTACAGACCACCGCCATATAGCTGGAATATTGCTGAGTGCGGCGTTAAACAACAAACCAACCAACCAACCTTATCAAGGAATAAACATTCCAGGAAGGATTTGGATTTTCAACTAAGCTGTTTCTAGATCAACAATCCAGAGCAAATTTAATTTAAAAATTTGATGAGGCCCAAAGCGTGATATGCAATATGGAACAGAAGTCATACAATGGCGTAACTTGTCATTTTGCCAAGGCCCCCACCATGCTTAAGGTCATAAGGCTATTAGCAGCATTGTTGCAATGCATTAGTTGTTTGCTCTAAAAATACGTAATGAATATTTCTCTCAGTAATACTAACTATCAGCCCTCAGGGAAGCTACCATATAATTTATTCCAAAAACAAATGGCGTATTTAGATTACAGTATTAAATTGAAAAGTTTGAATGAATTAATGCAACGTTTCATAAAATCAACTCTCGTGCAATCTACTGGCCGAACATTGTTTCAAGCGAACCCCATAGAGCTATTTCCCATGGAGCGCTCTTTACAAATATCCTACGCTCAGGGGGCGGTGGGGTAAACTAGTGGTTAAAGCGTTCACTCGTCACCCCGAAGAGCCGGGTTCGATTTCCCACATGGGTACAATGTGTGAAGCCCATTTCTGGTGTTCCCCAGCCGTGATATTGCTGGAATATTGTTAAAAGCGGCGTAAAACCCAACTCACTCACTCACTCCTACGCACAACTTCTGATTGAGACCAGTTCGGCAAACACCAACAACATTGCATGCGACAGTTTGGCAGGTTTCGATGTACGGAGCAATTGTTTACATTCCATATATGGCAAGTGTTATTTGTTTGGAAGCTATTCGCCTCAAAGTTTCAATTATCGATTTCAAGCAAGTCGCAAAAGATAATAAGTCTTTTATTGCATCAATAGGAAGTTAATGTGAGTGCATATGCCCCCAATATATAAAATATAGGCCAAAATATTGTCGAAATGTGTGACATTGTGCGTTTAATGCAATGAGTACCTGAATCTGTAGAATGACAGATATTGAAGGAGTCATTTGAAGCAGAATAAACATGAGTGAGTATATACACATGGAGATTTAGTTGGTAAAGGAGATGAGTAAAAATGCCCAACATTTGTGCATGATTGTTAATGTGTGTACGGATGGGCTTGTTTACAGAGTGAGACATGCAGCATTTTGATCCCCGAACTGGACTTCGAGACAGAGATGGGTACACTTGGTGGCAAGTTTACCACTGTGGAGGGTCTACTGTCTGATATACAGGGGCAGGTAATGATGTGATACAGTATGTGTTTTATCTACAAAAAATATTTTGATTATGATATATTTTAATCATTAACCTTAGAAAAGGTAAGAATTTCTAATCCAGTGATGTGATTATTGTGTTTCCAGTTGAAAGATAGCAATCCATTCTTCCGTGGGGACAGCTCACAACCAGGGATGGTGAACAAAATCACTGCATTCTGCGATCAATTACAAAAGGTGAGAACTACAATTGCTTGTTATGAAATTTGACGGCCATTGATGTGATCTAGAGGATGTGTCTTGGAAGTAGAAGGTGGGTGGTTCAATCCCGGACAAATTATGCTGTTAAAAGATGGTAATTCATCCCTTGCAATAATGCCCTTCGCGATACCGCGGATTTTGTTAAACTGCGGGGTAATCCGTGACTCCCATGAAAAAAGGTTGCCCAGTGATCACACATCTTCACGTCATCGAAAATAGCATGTTGAGCTCAGGTTGTAAACTAGCGAAATTCAGTGTGGATCGAAAATAAAAAGTGTTTTCACCGTACATGTTCCTCGTGTTTTGGGTTTTCAGATCTTTAAAAATATTCGGGGATTTCTCGAATAGTCACACGAACAGCAGAACATCGAAATAACTTATAAAAGACAACTTTATCATAAAGACATGCCATCAGCTGAGTACTTATGTTTGCTGTGATGCAACACACCGTATTGTAGCACGGGTAAACACCACCATCCGAAAATGTATGTCAATCTTCCTCAATATCATTTTATTTAGTCCCATTTTCATTCAGTAAAACTGTTTACAGTTACAATTTGTGTGAAATGGTATCACCTCATTCTATACGGGAGCGGTGGGGTAGCCTAGAGGTTAAAGCGTTCGCTCGTCATGCCCCAGACCCGGGTTCGGTTCCTCACATGGGTACAATGTGTGAAGCCCATTTCTACTGTCCTCCACCGTGATATTGCTTGAATATTGCTAAACGCGTCGAAAACTAAACTCACTCACTCACTCATTCTATACACGAACTACTTCCGCTTACCAAGTTCACTAAGGTCCGCTTTTCGCGCCCATCGTGATAACACCACATCATGCTCAGCCATCAGAAACTGATTGCCGCCTTGTCATCCATGGACCACTAGACCCGCTTTAATGACTCATTGAAGTCATTGTTGACAATTAATTGCCAACAATATTTTTCAAAGTGGCATGTACCGCATGAAGTCAACGGTGACTTGTCAAACTGTCTCCTACGTTAAATGTATGCAGTTAATGTACCCAAAGTGCTGAGCCTATGTTAATTATTATCTTAAATATGTACGTAGAAAACGCGCATTATACTAATACAATAGCAATATATATTATCCATGTTAAAGGTCACGCAACGCAAAACACAATTGTGCAGATTTTGATATCTATCGGTATGGACTTACAGTAACAAATTATCAAAAATGCAAATTCAACTCATAAAGCTGAAAAATAACGCGATGAAAAAAATCCCATGAAATCGGAGTTCAAACAATTCACTAAATTCTACCCAGCTGGGGTGAAAAGTGGTTTCAACAGCTGTGCTGCGGTCTGCTCATAGCACATGCGCAGTGAATAGGTTCGCGCAGCTTGAAGCGGGATGCCCGGATTATAGGTCGTGAGCAGGAGTAGTCTAATCTTGGTTGTGTACACAAACAACAAATAGTAAATAATCTACTCGTTACATAAAAGAACCTTGTTAAGGATCTAGATCTACTCAGCTATGTGTCATCCAGTGAGGCATTCGACATTTTGGGACGGAAAACCTTCGCTGGTGGTGAATACTCAGTGAAGGCTTTGATGTGAGCTATTTTTCTGATGTTTTGTTGATATTTCACAGGCGTGAGCTTTTTATATGGTTTGACAGTAGATTACCGATTTAACTGTATATAATTTCATTTGAACATTTCACCACACATTTTTCTTACAGAGTCACTTGCTTAGTTCGATGCAAAGCAACGTCATTATTTAGCATTGTCAGAATTTCTAACTGCGATATAGATATGCCTCAACGTCTGTTTTATTGACACCTATGTGTCTGCCTGCCTGTCTGCTAATGACAATATGCAATACACAACTTCGATCACTGGCCACATGCAATTTGAACTTAACTCATATCAGGCTATATACACCATAAACAAAACGCATTGATTTATGGCTCGTACACCCGAGTTCTGCCTCTGTCACATTATATAATTACACAGACAGGCATGTATGATACTTGTACATGTGACCTGTTATGATGTCTGTTGATTGCAAAATGTTATACACAACAAAATGTTATACACAAACAGCCCTGAGCATATCGGTAAATGAACCAGCCAATGATAGTTCTCATTACACTTGAGTGCACACCCACCTGCTCTGACTGGGTTCGGTACCCAGGTTGCATCGTTTTGAGGGAAGTAAACCCAAGTACAAAATATTTCACTTTTGATTTGCGATTGTACTCTTATAATTTTGTTTTATTTGTTTTTTCATAATCAGCAGTGTATATTATATGTCATGAATATATGATAATTGTGTTTTAATTATGTTGAATTTTTTTGTTGCATCTAATCTTTAAAGTAATGGCTTAAAATAAATTCTTCTGATAATGGAACCGAAATTCTTTGGTATTAAATTTTCGGATCGTTTTTAACTGAATCACCTTTAGATTATATGAAAACGTATACACAGTTGATTGCCCTTTCTGACTTAGTTGAATAACAGGTAGCACAACAAGAGCGACAATTGAATTATCATGTGTAGTGATGTTTGATTGCCAGTTTCCTTCACATATATCTATTTTCATTGACAAAGTTTTTCACCTCCACGATACGATACTGTACAGGTTTGACTGGGCACAATACACGAAATAGCAGTTCTGCAATGTCCATGGAATTTTACGGTTTTACTTGGCCTTTATAACGTAGGGTATCTTATAACGCGGGGACCCCATGGACCCCAGGACCCACGTTACATGACAGTAATTATTGTTACCCTGCCTGATTCCCAGTTTCCCAGCAGTGTATTGTGACATATAAATAGATATGAACATTTACAGCATTCCACAAAACTTCAAAACTTCATGCCCAAAATGAGATTGATTGGGTACGGGCCTACAGACATGTTGTGACAGGGTCACACTGGCTGTGTCCTCCATGGTATCTCTCAGACATATAGAGAATACTACACAAGGTCTCATTACATACAAATTATACGAAACGAGTGTCCTTCCTGTGGTATATCTCAGATATTCCTGTGTGCTGCAGTAGACAAAAATACCCAAATACTCATTCATGTCGTGGTTGCAGATTGTGACTGGTGAATTGATGGGGGTCCACTTGGTACTGGATGATCCTGCCGGGAACAGCTATCTACAGGTACGTAAAGGAAAACAACAATACATCGCTTTCATAAACAAGTTGCAGGTGATTCTGTTCCATTTGTTTTTTAGTTTGGTTTGGTTTGTTTTTTGACTCATTACTCAGCAATATTCGAGCTATATTGCGGCAGTCTGTAAATAATCGAGTCTGGACCAGACGATCCAGCCATCAACAGCATGAGCATAAGTCTATGTAATTCAGATATGAGCTCGGAAGCTGGGCGCTGCATTATTGCTTATGTATTATTGAATTCAGCACGGTAGTCTCCCACTCACGCACCCGTTCTTGGCAATACCCTGGGGAAACAATGTACCGTGATCACGAGTGAGTGGGTAAGCGGGTGAGTGAGTGAGTATAGTTTTACGTCGCACTCAGCAATATTCCAGCTATATGGCGGCGGTCTGTAAATAATCGAGTCTGGACCAGACAATCCAGTCATCAACAGCATGAGCATAAGTCTATGTAATTGAGATACGATGATGTCCTGACATGTTGGTGTCAACCAAGTCAGCGAGCCTCACCACCTAATCCTGTTAGTCGCCTCTTACGACAAGGATGGGTTACTGAAGATCAATTCTAACCCGGATCTTCATGTGTTCCGTTGCATTTGGATAGTGAATCTAGAAGTTATTTTAACGTTTAATGTTCCCATATTCCATTATAAATGGGGCCACATCCACTAACAGAAGATTGTCTTGTGATTGACCAATATCAGAATAGGCTATTGAATTTGTTATCTCTGATTTCGTTATGTTATCTGCTGTTTTTTGTTTCTTAAACTTGTTGTTTATTCCATACTATTGAAGACAATTTTTCTAGGATACTCAATTCGTAAATATGATAACTTCATTTTGAATTTGGTTTGTGTTTATCTGATGATATGTGCAGGATTTTTCACGTGATCACTAGATGTTTCTTTTAATATTAGGGCAGTGGGGTAGCCTGGTGGTTAAAGCGTTAGCTCGTCACGCCGAAGACCCGGGTTCGAATCCCCACATGGGTACATTGTGTGAAGCCCATTTCTGGTGTCCCCTGCCGTGATGTTGCTGGAATATTGCTAAAAGCGTCGTAAAAAACAAACTCAGTCAGTCAGTCAGTCTTTTAATATCACATCTAACTGGGGATTATTTTCTGTTCAAATGGACTTCTTTGTTTCTGTCTATACATTAGCGGGGCGATGGGGTAGCCTTGCTGTTGAAGCGTTCAGTCATCAAGCCAAAGACCTGGGTTCGTTTCCCCTGTGTGTACAATGTGTGAAGCCCATTTCTGGTGTCCCTAGCAGTGATATTGCTGGAATATTGCTAAAAGTGGCGTAAAACCATAGTCACTCACTCACACAAAACATTAGCAGGGGTGGAAATAACTTTAAAATTGTTAGTGTAAAATTGCTTGCCCGACAGAAAAAAACACTGGACTCGGGCGTCGGGCAATGGGTTATTTTCACCCCTGATTAGGTAAGCCATAAGTCAACCAATTGAAACAAGGCATACACGTCTCACAGGCTTAGGATCAGCTATTAACTGATGATTTTTAATTTCAGAATGTGTATGCCCCAGACCCTGACCCTGAGATAGAGGTCGTGGAGTATGAACGGACCTTTGATCAGAAGGAGGCTCTTGGTCTCAATGACATGAAGACGGAGAACTATGAAAGTACATGACATCACTTCCTGTTGTTCTTGTACCTTATCTCCTGTGATATTAAATGTCTGATGTATCTCTTACTGGTTTTGTTTTTTATACATGGATTTCCAAATTGATGTTAAGTCTTCTCATTAGCGGTGTTCCAAGTAATTGAAATAATCAAATATTGGTTGCAGTGGAGAAACGACCAAGCAGTGTTTAAATCTTAGAAATCTCACTTCACTTACTGTAAAGTCATGTCTGTATGTTTTGAAGACTCTATGAAGTTTATGTTCATTAGTCATCACTTTAAAGTAGCCTTGCATCATTTTACATTGGATGTGAAGTTTGTAAATGCAATTTCTTCAGTTTCTAAATAAAACCACATTATACTGATCTGCAATAACCTGTATAGGAAAATCTGAAAAATGACGCTAACCAATTTATTTTCGATGATTTCTCGATTTATGGCTAGAGGTGTGTGATGATGATTTTTATGGAGAAGCATGTACAATGTGATGGAACCCCCACCACCCCCCAAAATTTATGTACAAAGTAAGTGACTCCCCCTGCATGTCATGTACAAAGTCAATGACCCCCTCCCCTTTCCATATTTTTAAAACATAATTTTAAATATTTTAATGTACAAAATTGCTACCCCCAAGAAACATGTACAAAATTGCTGACCCCTTTAAGAAACATGTACAAATTTGATGGAAACCCCCTCCTTTAAAATCATCATCACCCCCTCTAGCCGTAAACTATGAACGGTCCCTAATGAAGGAATCATCAATTGTTAGATTTCAACCATTTCCCCCAACACTACTTCTCATCTACAAATGACCGGTGAAGATCCGAGTTACAGTTGGTGTTCAGCAATCCATGCTTGTCGTAAGAGGCGAGTAACAGGATCGAGTGGTCAGACTTGCTGGCTTGGTTGACACATGCCATCGTATCCAAACTGTGTAGATTGATGCTCATGATGTTGATTACTGGATTGTCTGGTCCTGACTTGAGTATTTACAGATTTTACAATATAGCTGTAAAAACCAGCAGTTCATCTATAAATTCTGACTCCACCTTTTTAATAAACAATATCTGACACGCTCTCAGCAGTGTTGAGAGACCTCTATCATAATACTTCGTCAGTCGAGTTATTATGTGCAGTTTTAGGTCTTCTCAATAAACACTGACGTAAACACCACATTGTTGGATGGCTTCTATTATTATGTACAGTTCAGTCCTCAATAAACACTGACACCACCTCCGCAGTGCTGGATGACTTCTATTATTATGTACAGTTTTGGGTCTTCTCAATAAACACTGACACCACCTCCACAGTGCTAGATGGTCTCTGGATGGCTGGATGGCTATATAGTTATGTATAGTTTCAGGCCTTCTCAATAAACAGACACCACCACTACATGCTGGATGGCTATATAGTTATGTATAGTTTCAGGTCTTCTCAATAAACAGACACCACCACTACATGCTGAATGGCTATATTGTTATGTATAGTTTCAGGCCTTCTCAATAAACAGAC